TCCCTGTTGGCTGGCATTCCGCTTCAAGTTGTTGCAGTTACTTTAAACAATTACCGAGGCACACGAACAGCTGCAATGGCAAAGGCTGGGACAATGGGTGCTGGTGCTGGTGACCCAAACAGGTCGAGTTGTGTTCTTTTGAGAAAGCCCCATAATAACTTAATGATGAACAAGGACGAGAACAGCTCCCATACCCTGTGTGTGTGTGTTAATCTGTATAATTTATGCGACAATTGATGCAAAAATGAAATTTGTCCCCCAACTGAAAAGATGCGCCTGTGGTTGGGCTGTGGGGACTCGGAGGATCTTCGGTTTGGCGAGTCGGGCTCCTATCCCAGATATCCTATAACCAATCCTCTCCCCTCCGACTGCTTTTCTACGTAAACGTGGCATACAAATTGCACTCATTTTAGTTTCTCACGTTTGTTGCATGTTGTACATGACTGCAACGCGCACGCACACAAATTGATGCACATACGAGCGAGCGCACGAGGAGGTAGGCCTCGACCTCTGCTTAGTCTCGATGCCAGTCCTCCGTCCTGCTAACCCCCCGGTTCCCCATTATCCTGCCCGCAGCCTCGTCTGCTACTGCTGCTGCTGCTGCTGCTGCTGCTGCTGCTCTGTTTTCCTGTCGCTTCATCGGCATGCGACAAACGGAAATGTTGCTTTTATGCTTTAAATATGGCAACTTTGTGGTGTCGAAAGACACACTCACTCGTGGCGGTGGTAGCAGTGATGGGATGGCCACCATCCCATTTGGCAGTCGTGTCGATTGCACGTCTTGCTTGCCCGGCCCTCTCGCTTCCCATTTTCCAGTTCCCAGCTCCCAGTTCCCAATCCCGCCTATGCTACATCCTCAGCCTGACCCCTGCCTTTGTATAGCTATCTCCCGGGGTGAGCTGTGCGGTGTGTGCGAGTGTTTGAGCGATCGACCATGAAGCCTTCATTATTGCATTTCATGATTTTGCGGTTCTTTATGCCCGTTCCTTCACATTGGCATACATGGGCGGCGACAAGGGCAGGACACTGGACGAGCGGCAGTGGCAGCGTCTGCCATGTGCCATGTGCCCCATTTGCCATGTGTTTGGCCTGGCCGGGACTGGTGTCGACACTTTCACAACATCCAGCCTGCATAGCCGCATCCACATCCACAGCGACAAAGACATCACAGTCAGCTTCAGCTCCAGATATGGCTTTCCCTCGTCCTGCATTCATTTCCATCTCGAGACCCACTTCGCTCTCCGTCTGTGCCTCCATGCCCTCCATGCTCCTCCATTCAAATTTTCAATATTTTCTGTGTGTGTCGCCGGTCGTTATCACGCATTTCCTGCCATTTGCATCGTCATCGTCATCTCCATATCTCCATTGCCATTGGCATTGGACTGGTAACGGGAATTGCAGCCACAAGACGCGGGCTACGTGGCCAGGATGCGGGAGCCGGTGTAACCTACTCTACCAGCCACCACCGACTTGACCAATTTGCCGCCTCTGCGGTTCCGGGTTGAGCACATTAGGCCGCACATTGCGCACATTTCACGGTGAAAAGTCGATCATGGGGCCGCGAATCGAAAGGGGATTACGGGCATATTGTAAATTTTCACAAAATCGTGAAGGTTTCCGGAATCAAAGGGTTACGATATAGCCTATGGCACTAAGTAATTATGAAAGCAAAGCAAATATTAAGAAAGGATGCTGTTAGGAGTCCCTAAATGCCAATAAATTCTGTGTTGGAATATATTATAACAGTTTCTAACAGTAATCACGCTATCTAGGTACATGGTATATCAAGTCAATGATGTAAGTAGTTCGACTAATATTGGTTTATGCTGGGAAAGCTCTTTGAGTACCAGAAAGTAGATTAACTTTGTGTTGGAATATATGTTTTATAACAGTTTCTAACAGTTATCACGTAAACCACATACATGAATGATGTAAATATTGGTTAATGCTGGGAAAGCTCTTTGAGTACCAGAAAGTAGATTAACTTTGTGTTGGAATATATGTTTTATAACAGTTTCTAATAGTTTGAATGATGTGCGTAATGGTAAAAATATAGATTTATGTTGGAAAAGTCTTTAAAGTACCAGAGCCACGATTAGCTTTGCGTTGAAATATATGTATTATAATAGTAATCATGGTAGAAATATTGATTTATATTGGAAAAGCAAATGTTTGAAATAAAAGTAAGTTTCCCTCTATTTTATTCTTAATTACTTTATGTGATTTGCTGTGAGAGCTAAATGTATTCGTCTTCTCATGAAATTGCTGACTTGCATCCTATTAACAGCATAAGTAGCGGGCATTTCATTCTGCCGTGCCGCTTACCACTTAGCTTTCCCACAGTCATGGTGGGGTCAAAAGCCCCATGGCCCAAAACCATGGCCAATGATCAGTGACAACTGGGCTTCCCATCTGACCCCCGGACTCCAGCCGTAATCCGAGTGGCCGCGTCCGCCGGGGGAGCAACAACATCGCTTTCAGCTGTTAATGCCACTGATTGCTAATAAATTGAAAACCATTTCAGCATGGCCATCCAAAGGACCAAAGGCAGGATTTACAGCCGCTGTCGGAATCAAAATCAGAGCAGAGAGCAGAGTCGAAGTCCGAAGCCTCTTGAATGAATATGCAAAAACAAGGTAAACAGTGAATAAAATCAAAATAAAAACTCATTTATCAACACGCATGCCAGACAGGACGCACAGCCTATCCATCTCCATCGATAAAACTGGACAAATGTGGAGCCCAGCTCCAGCCTCGCTCCTGCTCTTCTGCTGCTGGCCAAAAGGGAAAAGGTCACAAAAGCAGGTTAAGCTGCTTTTTTAAATAATACGCACAACCCGTTAATACACACTGGGACCAGCAGCAGGCAGTGGCAATGGCAATCCTTTTCCCCTGTGAGACACAGAGAGAGAGAGAGAGGGGGGAGGAAGAGTTTGGATGCGGAGTGCGCCGGGGCCACGTGCGAACTGCTCCGCTGGTGACCAACGACTGCCGGAATGGCGAGGATATACGAGCACCCGAACTATAGTTGCCAGCCGAAGGATACTCGGCCGGCATCGGCTCGACTTCGGCATTGAGCTCGTGCCTCGCCGAGCCTCACGATTGGCGCCGCCTTCGAACTCGGCCATGTCCTCGGCCTCGGCAGGGCCACTGCGGCCGCTCAGCGGATCCGTTCCGTAATCCGTTCGCTGGATTTTTTGAATTAGTTGCGTGTGGTAGCTTGTTGACATCAGTACCGGGTACCGGATGCGAATTGCGAATGCGGATGCGGACACGTGCGTGGCTCGCCAGTCTCGACAAGTCCCGACTTGTTTGCTAGTTTCTAATTTAGTGAGGAGATCCTTCTGTTGTTCCACGTTTTCTTTTTTTCTCTTTTTTTTTTTTTGCTCGCTCGTCTGCGCTATCCCGTGTGTGTATGTGTGTGTGTTTAAGTGAGGTGAGTGATTTTTTTTGTTGTCTCTGGATTTTTTGTGTGTGCGAGTGGCGCTTTGGAGGCCTCCCGCAACAGTTGCTGATCCGAACTAAGCTTTAGGGGCTTAGCACACAAAGGCCGGGCAACAACACAACACCAAACCAGGCTCAGCTCCACTACTGACCTGCGGTCGTCGATTGCCGGGTGGATGGTCAATGGTATCTGGTCGCTGGTCGCTGGTCGCTGGTCGCTGGTCACTAGTCCTGGCTGATGGCCGGTTGTCCGTTCAGCTAGTTTTGCGGTCGCTTTGACGCGGTCGCGGGCAATTTGAAAGCCAACACCGAAACGCCGATTACGATTACGATAAGTGCAGTGGAGCAGGAGCTGGAGCGGTAGCGGGAGCAGGAGCTGGAATAGAAGTGGTGCTGCAAGTGGAATGCTTATCATCGGCGGCAACGAAAACATTTTGCATTCGCTTTGCTCCCCGACGATGCTGTATTGCATTTACAGCCTCCTCACCACCTCAATTCCCTTCCTTTTTGGTCCTTGTTTTAGTTTTTGCCAGTTACCAAAAAGCCCTCACAGTGGCCGAGTGCAATTAAAGACTGGCCGAGAAGAGCAGCAGAAGCAGCAGCAGCAGCAGCAGCAGCAGCAGCAGCAGCTTCGGAGGAGAAATATTAAATACTAAATGCCAGCATCTGGCGAAGGGTAGCTCTTCGCCTGTTGCCATCGTTGAGGGCAGCCATCAGCACCAGCAGCAGCAGTTCCCACGGGTGTCCCCAGCCATCCGTCCGCTTTGAGTGCGAACAGGTGAGTGACAATGCAAATAGAGATAGGATTGGTGAATTGGGGGCCTGATCGGGCTACATCTCACCCATGAAAAAGTCCATGCGGCATGGTTTCAATCCATTCTAAGGATTAAATCGAAATTGCTTGGACTTGTTTCACATGACAGATTAATTCTAAATGTCCTGAAAAATCCAAAATATCTGGTTTTCCCTGTAGGATGCTAACTGTAATCATCCGATATAAAAAAAATATAATGAATTCGTTAAAGAATAAGATAGAATTGATAGAATTTACGTGGCTTTGTTATTTTATAATTTTGAAACGATTTTTGTATTAACATTAGAAGGCTAAAATATCAAGATAGTTTATTAATATAAAAATATTGTAAAATAAAAAATTGTAAAAAATAAAAAATTGATTAAAAAATATATGTGACAAATTTCAAAACGATTGGTTTACAAAATTTTGAGCTATCGAGAACACCGGATTTCAAAATGAAACTTTTTAGGAGAGTTTATTTCACTTTTTGATATTGAACACCAACCGACCTCCGTTCAACTTCACATAACTTTGTAACTTTGTTATGGTCAATGTGAAACTTTTATAAAATATCCCTAAGATTTGAACATTCATATCTGAACTTAATTTAATTTAAATGCAAAATATTCATGTATGTATACATATAAATTTATAGATAAATAGAGACATGCCTTAATTCCATAGAATTTAGCCTGCCTTTTTGTATTAATTTTAACTTTAAAATGCCTAAAAATCTAAGAAAACATGATCCAGTTCTTAATTGATCGTTGACGTGATCCTTGAAAACTTTATTGAGCATTCCCTAGACTATCCCCTGAAGTGGGATCGGACTTCTCCTCGCTCTCCTGATCCTCTTCCAGCAAAAGAACCGACTCGACCACAAACGGACACTCATCCTTCTTTCCATTGCCCACTGATTCATCCTCCTCCTCGTCCTCCTCGCTGAACATCAGCTGGTAGGTACTGTGAGACAGATTGTCTCCATCAGCGGACTCTATCTCCGACTCGGACTCCTCCTCGCCGTCCTCCTCCGACTCAACGTCGCTGTCGCAGTCGCAGCAGACAATCTCGTGGGCCAACAGGGCGAGGGCCTCCTCGCAAAACAGCTCGGCGTCGTCCAGTTCGAGTTCCGAGTCCGAGTCCGAGCCCCCGTCCAGCGGGCTGTACATGTGCCTGCCGCCGGCGGCGGCTCCCATGGTTGATCCGGCCTCCGGTTCCGAGTGGCTATCGACTGCAAGAAGGATATATATATGCTATATGGTTGGACATGAGAATCACTCTACCTTCGGCCTCGCCATCGCTGTCCGCTTCCCCGAAATTGCTGCTGCTGCTGGTGCTGCAGCTGCTATTGCTCACCGACATGTGCTCCTCGCCGAGATTGGCCAGCACTTGCACCTCCGGATTTAGCTGCACGTGCGGCTGGACTCGGGAGGTTCCTGCCCGCTTGGAGCTGCCAGCTCCATGGCCAGTCATTTTCGATTGCATCCGACTTTCAACCAGAGTCTCTGTCCTTGTCTCGCTTCTTGTGCTTCAGTGCCACGTCTCGGAGCTCCTTCTCAGCCTTTTGTCCCGACTACGTTGGGATTTCGAATTTGTTTCGATGCCTGTTTTGAAAGGCCTCGCCCGGCCACTGCGACTGCGACTCGGAATAGAGGGTCTAAGATGGTGAAGCAGGAAGCCCTGACTGCCGGCACGTAATGTCCCGAGCGCTTCCTTCTGGCCCAGGACGGTGAATTAAATTTTATGCCAACTGCATTGCCCTTAAAGGCGGTGAGTTCTTTGAGGCGGCAGTCGATGATGAACTCCGCACACAAACACATACGAGAGCAGGACATGAGCTGGCTGCCGTAGCAGAGTTACATTTGAAATTTTATATCCTTGGCCGGGGCCAGAAATGCAACAAATAAAAGCGAGCCACGAGCCGCCGCTGACCTCGGACTCCGGAGTCCAGCAGCCGTCGTTATCATTGTATCACTCTACTCTGGGCCAGCAGGCGACACGTCCTCGTCCTCCTTCTGCCCCGGGCTTTCACCCTACAGCTTCATATCCGCTGTGGGGTTAGCCAGGAAGGCCTCGCCTTGGCCATACCTCGTAAAGCCTATGAAAGAGTTGGAAAAGAAATAGTTTGAATCGCCTGGAACACCTTATTATAAGATTCCTTTCCAAGCCCAGTTGAGTTGGAGTATCTCCCCCTGTGATGAGTCATCTGGCAAGTTTTGGCCTTGCTTCGTCCTTGCTGCCACTCGGCTGATATACCTTAGGTTGCTGGCCAACTTTTTTAGCCATTTCCCATTTGCATCCAGCCATTTGCACTTCGCTTTCTGCCGGACTCGGACCTAGACGGGGACCTAGAACCAGAACCAGAACCAGGACCACTTTGGCGAACCACAATTTCATTTCGCTTTGCCAGGCCGTTTAGCCTGTTTTGGTTTCGGTGCAGTTGCCATCTTTTTTTTCTCTTTTTTTTCCACCAGTTCAGCAGTTCAGCAATTCGGCTGCCTGGTCCTCGCTGTTGTGTCCTGTCCAGAGCCTTCCGGTCGTCAGAGGCAGAGTCGCTTTTGTGGTGCCTGCATTGTGTCGCCTTCCCTGGCCAAGACCCAGTATCATTGCCACTTCCAGTTGGCGGCTATGTAAAGCCCAAGTCCCGTATCCAAATCCCGACCGACGCTTGCCGCGTTAACGAACATAATAACCCTTTTCTCTCTAATTACACACCAAATTTACTACAAACGAGCTATAAAAATCATCCAAGCAAAATCTCTGCTCTGCCAGCGTTTAAATGCAAATGCTTTTTTCTCACGCACAGCACAAAAAACATTAACAACAATGACAATAAATGAAAGACATTAATGCTAAGCGATCCGCATCTCGTTCAAGGGAGGAAGAGGGGAAAAGGGAGCCCGACGTTGACAACGATTGGCGACCGTGACAGGCACAGCTCACAGCTCCCCGCTGAGAGTCCTCGACAGTCAATGAAATAAAATTAAACAATTATGAAAAAAAAGAAGGCTCGGAGCAGCAGGATGTGATGATGCCGAGGGGGTATGATGTTTTAAAGGTGGAGGTGGACGTGGACGTGGATGTGGAAGTGGATGTGGTGGTGTTCTAGGACGGGTAACAAGGACTCTGCTTTGGCATGTCATAATCTGGATATGTTTGCGGAAAGTCTGTATATTCCGAGCACGCTTGTCCGTCCTGTTTAGTGGGTACATGTATAATTATTTGATGCAGTGCTCTGGCTCAACCACTCTCCCACCTACTACCACTTCCACATCCTCTCCAGCTGGTAACTTCCACTTAAACCTCACTCATTCACTCACCCGGCAGTGGGGCAAATTTTACGCGACGTAATCGTAATATGATTATCGTGCCACACAATCCCTGTCCTTGGCCCTTCGTCTCTGTCGCTTTCTTTCTCTCTCTCTGTGTGTGTGTGGGGATGTGTTAAATAACTTCCTTCCGGTGGCGACAACATCAGCCAGCCGGGGCAGCCGTACTCGTGTATCCGCTTCCGTCGAATGATGCCGCAGAAATGCTCTAAATCTCATATCATCATTTACGCAGTAATTTTTAGAAGCCAACTAGATGATGAGGGAAGGCCAGGACGCCTACATCCTTACCCTCACAGCCACAGGACACGGACACTTTGGCCTCAGTCAAAGGCAACTCCATCACCCATCACCCATTTCCCATTGCCATTGCCATTGCCATTCCCATTCTCATTCCCATTCTCATTCCCATAATAAACAAAGCTTCAGCTCGCAACTCATGCGAGTCAACTTCCACCGACGACGACGACGACGACGACGACGACGACGACGACGACGACGACGACGACGACTGCGACTGTGACTGGGTGTGGGTGTGGGATACTGGAGTCGAACTGTGCGTCGGGGGCACGTCCATCCATCCGGATGTGGGCGAGCCAGGCCGGGTTGGGTTGGGTGTGGTCGGGTCCTCAGTCCTTAGTGTGGGGCTTTTTCTGCTCACCGAGTGTCCTTATTTTAATCTCGACACAAGTTAACAGCATTGTTGGCAGCCGCGTGCCATCCGTGAGCTTTGCCCTGGTCCGTCTCCTCTCCTGGCCTCCTTCACCATCAGCATAATGCGCCCAGAGCTCGGCATTCATCCCAACCGCAGCAGCTCCTTCCTGGCTCCTTTCCTCCTCCATCATTGACTTGGGCCTTAGTTTCAGTTTCAGTTTCAGCTGCCGGAATCCCCTCGACATCCTAGTCTCGTCTCCGTCTCTGCCTCCTTTCTCCTTCCTCGTCCCCGTCATCCACATCCTTGTCATTAGCAGTTAGCATTCAGACGGCATCGTCATCGTCTCCTTCGTCGTCGTTGACTGTCGCCTGCCGTTCATAATGTTATGATGGCTAAAAGCTAATTGCGTTTGTCTGTGTTAGTTGGTGACATTTGCCCTCCACTTCGTCCTCGTCCTCGTCTCCCGTCTCCCGTCTCCCGTCTCTCGTCTCCAGCGTCGACGTGGCGGCATTAAGTGTCACTGGAGTGCGTGATCCTTGTAAGTCGTCTAGTTACACATGTTTTTATAACCTGTTTTGCCAGAGTACCCTGTTGTCCTGGCCGCCAGCTCTCGTTCTCTCCGGGTGGATTAGTTGAGAGCTGAGCAAGCAAACTGATTAAAATGGGGCTTCCAGTGTGCATCCCAGAAGGGGTTACCCGAAGGTAAACAAGAGAGCTTGAGAAGTGAACGGGAATACATTTTAGGAACTCAAAAGCAAGCACAATATTAAAATAAAACTAAATATATAAAATATTATAAAAAGAGACACGAAAAACGCCATTAAATGCTTTTGAATTATGTATTTCCCCGGGTTTTTATGAATTTGTTATAAAGCAATTACCACTTTTGTCACACTGAGCTAAAAATATATGCATTTGCTTATTTGTTTTTAAACTAAAAGTGCTTATTTGTTGTCATTGCCAACCGAAGGGCCACTCGGCTTGCAGTTTTCACAAAATTAAAATGTAACATAATATTTTAGTTTAATTTTTGCACAAACAGCAAACAGATTAATTAATGTAAACACAATTATGAGCTGTCTCTGTGAAAATGTGTAATGCAAAACGCCATTTGGATTGCACTTCAATTGAAGCCTTTGCCCTCGTAAATTGGTCTCGTAATTACTGGATATTTAACCGTCGATTTCAGCTCAAATGGCGTCCAAGGAAAGTCCTTGTCATCCTTGGCTCCATGCTGTACCGATCAACTTATTGTGTTGTCATTCCGGCATCGCTTAATCAGCCGGACTTGGCCGGTTAAGGCCCGTCGTCGTCCTCCACCCCATGACTTTACCTGTCAAGTCGGCCAGGACTCGCCCCGCTTATCACTGACAAATCACCAAGTGACTCCACTGAGCTGACAACAAGAAGTGTCATCATTAACGAACATCGGCCCCGGCAAACATTTATCAATGGCAAACAGAGATGGAGATGGAGACGGAGATGGAGATGGAGATGGAGACGGAGTCCGGGTCAGGAGGGCGGACGGGCAAACAAACAAATGATGAGGCCGAAAAGGAAGGCGTCAGGAACTTTGGCAAATTAAATCTCGGTGCCTCGAATATCCCGAAACCGGCAAGGGCAAGAGATTGGCCTGGCAGGATGTGGGTGCGGTGTGGTGAATAACCGCAGTTTGGGGAGGACGAAGGGATGCTGCTGCTGGGCCCCCCAAAACAGTTTTGTTACCCATCAAGCCACGAAATCAAGCAAATCGTATTAAATAACAGTTAATTACAAATACACACGACCCAGGGCCAAGGACCAGGACGAGACCCTCCTCCACTATCGAGCTGAGTCCCCCCCAGTTCCTTCCCGCAACCCCATCCCATCTCCTTCATCCCCCTCGTGGGAGTGGCTTTCGCTTTGGTTTGGGGTCAAAGCCAAATGGTTGATGCTGAATTAATTAATGATTCACTTGAATGATTGATTATTTGACTAAATGATTGAATTATGCGATCGACCCAGCCCAGTTCAGGCAAAGTAGTGGCAAAAATCTGTTGCAACCTTTGACCTTTGGCCAATAACTCAAGCGGGAAAACCAATAAACACGCCCACACATCATGTCCTGGCTGCTATGCTCGCCCACAGCCCTGCCCCAAAAATATGCCAAACAGTGGGGAGCCACTTTTCCACTTCCATTTCCACTTTCTATTTCTTTTTCTTTTTTTTGCATGTAACGTTACCATAAAGACAAATTGTTCAAAGTCCTTGGATGCACAAGGGTCTGAATTGAACCAGCAGCAGCTCGAGGCAGCTTCGCAATTAGCCAGCTTCAGGGAATCCTTTATGTTTCAAAGGGGATTGATTATATGTTAGTAGTCCTGCAAATATATGTGTTTCTATAATAAATTATTTATTATATATATATATATATTATAAATAATAAATATAAATATAACAAGTATAAATATATTTTATTTATTATATTTTATGTACATTTTTGTACTGTTTAAGATTCAGAACCAAAGTAAGATATAAAGTTCAATCCAAATTACTTCTTCCATCATCCACTTTCAAAAGTCGTGTATTTATTTTACAGAAACCATTCGAATCTTGTTTTATTATTTTATAAATACTATTTTACTATTTATTTTGAAA